GGAAGTGACATTTACACAGACATTTAATGGTGCTCCCTTGAAATGTACAAACCAAAATACTTTCTCCTCCAGATTTTTTCCCTATTTTTCCCACCCCACCCTACCCTCTTCTAGCTACTTCTTCTCTACTACTTCTACCTTTTTGATATAATTTAATGGCTCTTTTGCTCAGAAAAAATATTTTCATTGTCTATGTTGGCAGATCTTGACTGTTTTGGAATAGATTGGAATAGTTTTTCTGATGATGAGCACTGATAGGAAAATCTGAGTGAATATTCTGGGAAATGCACCAGTGTACAACATTCCAGCCAGCCTTTACCTAGCGTGCAGTGAGGGTAGGGGAATTCTACAACTACTTGTTTTGAGAAGTACTTTAGCTAATTGGAGTTGAGTAACCCATGATTTCCTTTTATCCTCTCTGAAGCTTGCCCCCAACTAGAAATATTTATTCCAAAGGTCAAACATGTGGAGACATGTTCCCCAGAGTAAAAGAAATAATGGAGCCAACACTTCCTATTTTTAAGTATTATCCAAATACAATCAGCATGAGTGTCAATGAATTTACCCACATTTCTTGGCTGATTTTCTATCTCTGACTTGAGATAAAAAAGAGAAGTCATCAAGGAACTTCATAATTATTCAGGTAATTAATTAAAAGAATCTACCTAGCCACTACTGGAGCAAGCTTAACTCTTTATAATGAAACTTAATCTCACTTCTATGATGCCAAAATGAAATTCTAGGACCAACTAGGTCTGTTGCAGAATGAGAACATTTCAGTAAGAATAACTACTTGACTGGTAAAGGGTCTCAAAGTCACAGGACTCTAATCAACTTGCAAGAACATGAGAAAACACAGTGATAGAATCTCAGATCACTCTTACACACACACACACACACACACACACACACAGTTAGCTCAAGGTCCTCTCCATCACACAACTAAAAAAAGACAATATGGAGTGCTCTAAAGAACAAAGTAATATTCTACAATTTTGTTCAAGACACTGCATTTAGTATTATAACATTTAGTAATTTCTAAAATCCTCTAGTTTCACACAAGATTTCAATGCCTATGAAAACACTCTGGACACAATGCTGAGAAGTTAGTGCTCTTTAATCACATATCATAACTGTTTTGCCTCCACCTAAGGGAATGAATCATAAAGTAACGCAAGAACTTGGAGGGTTGTGCCCCTTGCCAAGGGGAGTAGGCCCACATATTTCAAGCTTCAAATTATCCTAATCATTTTTAAATGAAGTTATCTTATTGAATCAGGTATAGGACAGACAGGAATATATATATTTTTATATTTATTTAATATATATTTATATATAGTAATTACCACGACTATAAATATGCCTAAACTAACATAATCTGCCTTTGCAGATACTCATCACTAGGTGCTGATATGGAGAAATACTTCCAAGTTTTCCTAGATAGTTATTTCCTAGGTCTACTACCCGAGTCCTGCACACATTGTGGTCCCATCTCTCCTTCCCGACAAGTTCTTTAGGGTGATTATTGAGTTTCTACTATTTTATTTTCTTCTTTCACATTATGTCCTCAGATTTTAGCTTCATATTACCTTTAGTCCTCAAACAAATAAGAGTTATTTTCTCATGCTAAACTATATATAAATATATATATAAAAATAATTATAAATAAATTATAATGCTAAACTAAAACCAGTATCCAAATAATCAAAGTTTTTATGTGTTTCTAAGTCTGGAGGGCTTATTGCTAAATCCTTCAAAAGAACAATCAGTCTATCATTTGAAACAAAAAGAAAAACTAAACAGATACTTGCCCTTGTGTTTGAAAGTTTCATCATCAGTACCACTGAAAGTGACAAATATCAACGATCTAGTCTCCATTTAGCACTGACTAAAATTATTTTAATTTTTCCCTTTATTATTAGAGAAAGGGTTTGTTATGGACTAGAATGTGTCTCTTCAAAACTCATATGTTGAAGGTATAGTACCCAGTGTCGCAAAATGTGGCTGTATTTGCCTAGGGAATCTTAAAAGAGGTAATTAAATTGAAATGTGATCATCACGATGAGCCCTAATCCAACTCATTTGGTGTTCTTACAAGAAGACACGATGCAAATACACAAGAGACACCAGGGTTGCCGCCCACATGGAAAAGGCCAAGTGAAGACGTACTAGAAGGAAGCCATCTGGCACACTGAGGAGAGAGGACTCAGGAGAAACCAACCTTTGGCACTTTGATTTTATACTTATAGCCTCCAGAAAACCCCCCAAAAAATTTTTTTTGGTCACACTTTTGTGGTCCTTTGTTAGGACAGCCTTGGGAAACTTAAAGGGGAAAAGAACTTTTTCTTTCTAAGAATAAATCACTTTTCTAAAGTCTATATCTCTTAAAGATGTTTAACATGAAGAAGAAGATAAGAATTAGTACAACAGAAGTTTTCCATTCTGGATCCTGGTCAAACAACTTAGATTTGAAAGAACATTTTATTTCTCTGGAGACAATGGAGTCATGATAATAAGTCCTAAAACATTAAGACTGCTCTTTCCTTGTAGTTAAAGTATTCTCTTTCCTCTCCTACAAGGACCATTAAGTGCACATTCTTTCCTTTTGATGGAACTTACCTAAGCCATTTTATACTCCAAGCCCAAACTCAAAGCAGAAGCTTTCTCTGTGAATTCAGATTTTTAAAGCAATTCTCAGTCAAGCTACTTCTCTAGCTTGAATAATAAAATCTTTAGGACAGCTTTTCAAAATTGACTGGCAGTTTTCAGGTAATATGATTTAACTATATAAAATAGATGTTAACAGCTAAATTTGAATTCTAGAATACTTAGAGTCAGTTTCCCTGGAAAAAGTTGAACCTTGGTTTTGTATAAAGTTCACTGCAGCAAATTCTAAAAGTTTGATAAAATTTAGTATTTTAGAATACTTAAAGCTTATATTTTCACAACTCCATATCTTTTTATTGCTATTATTTCATTTAACTTTTAATCCAATTAAAAGATCCACTCTTTTAATACTATTTATCCTATAATAATTTGTGTAATGCATTTTGATAAATCTTCAAATACAAACAAGCGTTACATTACGATTGCTTTAATCTGCCGGTTTATTGTTGGATAACCTCAAATACAAAATTATTTATTTCCTCAAGCTACAACCTCTATTACAAATGAAAATTTAATTTTCAAGCCCATCTTTAGTGAAAGAACAAGGACACTTGAATTGTATGTTCCTAGGATTATAAATTGCTTTTGGTTTCCTATTTTTAGCAGAACAAATGAAGTTTGAATGAACTTATATAGTTTATCTCATAAACTCCGAACAAGGTTTTAAATTGAATCACCATTATTTTATCCATTTGGGAATAAAATTCACGATGAACTGGTTTATGCATGCTTTACTAAAAAAAAAAGCCCAATGTAAAGAATATGATTATTTCCTATTATACACAAAAAGGTGAGATATCAGCAAGACTTTTCTTTATATTCCTTGATAATTTCTCTCTTTGAATTAAGTACCTTCTAATCTAAACTCTATTTTCAAATAATGAATTCAGTATTAATATAAGAATAGAGGGCAGAGTGGGGACCTTGTACCCCAACTGTTGCTATCTCCAGCACTTGTTAAGCAGGAAACTCACACGCCATAGAAATCATCCATCTTCAGCCATCATAGATATTATTTGCCCTCACATTTCTTTCCCTCAATAGCGGAATACCATACTTAATACTAAGCTTACTTTTATCAACATATCCAGTAAATTAGCATAAAAATTGAAAATCTACCTGATAATTTGAGTCCTTATAGAAAATGATGTGTAGAATTGCTCACCAATGCAGTGTTTTCTGGCTTAAAAAGTGACAAGAAGGCTCTAGCTACTTCTTGGCAAGGTATGCAGTTTCCTTTGAGTGGATTATTACCCTATGCACCAGCTCAGTATGCAGAAGGCTTTGTTAAAATCACATAGGGAGATCTTTCAATCATTACCACTTTGCTGTCAGTTATGTAGTTTTTAGATGGAAAACAAAAAGGTACAACAAAAGTAAAAGTTGCTCCAAACCCTGAGAGAAAGGAGGATAGAACATGGAGCAATCATGGGGACAGCATGAGAGAGCAGGTTATCATTTCTATGGTTCCAAGAAAGACAGAGACCCTAAAAGAAGCTAAAAGAAGGTGAAAGTGAATACTTGTCAAGAGCGGGCATCAAATATGAAGTTTATAGCCAAATAATTAAGCTGCTATTTATGATGTTTCCTACAAATCTACTTTCCTTGTATTATCCAATCTATTAGCATTTCATTACCTGAATTCAATGGCAAATTTGGTAAAGTGAAATTTCCAAATCTTTCCTCATGAGAACATCCCATTTTTAGAAGCCTTTCACGTCACACAATTATATCTGAAATTGCAGCTAAATTCTAATCATTATTTCAATTCTCATATTGCATTTTTCTACTCTATTTAAATGCCTGCCTTTCTCACTCCATATGTATGCCTTTAAATAGTTATAAATTGCCATGTTTGACCAAACAGCCCAATGTAACTCCGTTCCAACATCTTTTGAGAGTTGAGTGCTAAGTGTAAGTCACCTTCTTTGTCCATTAATTTTGAATAGGTTTACAAAACTATGAAATTATAGATAGCATAAAAATGAAGAAAATAGCCTGACATATCCAATTGGTCATACATCTGTCTTTCATTTCTATGCAATTTCAATGTGTGGTGAAACTAGGGACTAATTCATGGGCACACGATAGTTTCAGTCCTTCAGCTTTTCTCAGTCAACTCATTAACGATTATAGGTACTGCTAGTAGCAAATGGTCCAACTTTGAAATGTTACACATTTTGTTTTCTCAGGAATCACACAGAACTCTAGTTCCAAAAAGGGCAGTTGCAGTGTCAAAGTGGCACTATCGTGCTTACCTTGGTCACAGCTGGGCCTCTCAGAGAAACTGTCAAAGTATCAAGTTGTCAAGATAGTTGCAGAAGTTCCCTGCTGCTACCATGTGTCCTTCTGCACAATGAAAATGTCAGCAGTTCCCGCCACCTGAGTGGAAACTTTAAATCACTCTTCTCACTCTGACTTTTTATCATCAGAATGAGAAAGACTTAATAATGCAAGAATGGTAGGTTAAATCTATTTGAAAGATAAACTTATCCCCATTTAGAATCAATGGGTTTAACTAAGTCTTCTAAAGGAGACCATGAGGAACATCCCTATCTACACCAGAACTGGACCAGGAAGAAGCAGGGAAAAGTGCCTCCCATGTCCCAGGAGATTGCTATGCTGCACAAGTTAGTCCTAGCTGCTGTCCTCTATTTTCTTAGAGGACATATTAAATATGAATCAACTGAGCTAATAGCCATCAAGCTCATGTCTGCTTTGCCTGGAAACAGTACATAACTAGTACCATTTCATTAAGTTAATTAAAATGGAGTTTTAAAATTATTACTTCAATTTCCTTCACTTTATAGCATTAAAAAGTTGAAATCTAAGGACAAATTTTCTGGGGCTACTTCATGAATTCAAATCAGATATAAAAATAAAATACTACAGGTTTTTTTTCCTTATGACCCATACTTGATTTTGTTTGTTATCTAAGTTATACTCCCCCAGAAGAATAATAATTATAACTTTATAGTAATGCACCATAAAACCGAATAACTTTCATGTTGTTATATTCTTTTTGTTTAAATAAGAGCAAAGAGTAAAGAAAAAAACAAAAGCCCCCTATATTTTCAATTTGTCTTTCTAGGCTTACCAAAAGGAAAGCACATTTACTATAAAGAATACCTCTGTCTTCCAAGAAATGTTTCAGGCTTGACAGTTTAACAAATTTTGTGATCATGGTAGGAGAGTTTAGATAGGTAGTCCTTTGGCTCTTCCCAGCTGTGGGAATTTTTGATGGATGCAAACTATATATGAATAGAAGAAAAGTGGCCTGTATCATGATTTGAAAAACTGTCAAATGCCACATAATCATTGGAAAACTGCTGCAGTAGACCTTATGATAATTAAACTTATTTGCTTCTTTTTATAGATCATATATATGGAAGACAAAATTAAAATCCTTTCTGCTATGGAAGTTAGATTTTAATGAATTTGTGCATAAAACTGACTAAGATTCAGACGGCAAATTTAGCTCTCAGTCTAAAACTTAGAAAGCAAGGAATCCATTCTTTCATTGTTAGTGCTGCTGTTCTTTAACTGTGAATATATTTAGATTTTAAAAATAAAAAAACATAAATTCAATAAAGCATCCAAGGGAAAAATATCCATTCTTCCCATATTCTATTTATTTTATAATTGGTTTCAAAATGTAGAGATGGTTCAAATGTTCCCCTTAAGCATGTACACATCATCATGGAAAACCAATTCATTATTCTTCAAGGGCTTACATTAGCAAAAATAACTTCTGATGTTTAAGTGAAGCTATATGAACAGCTGACTCTGAGAGCCAAACAGTTATATCAATAATTATTAACATTTTTTAAAGCCAAAGATGCTTGAGTCAGAATAGAATTAACCAAGATTTGGCAAACTGAAAACTATATTGTTTCTCCCTCAGATACTCTAAGGAAGGATGGGATTTTTAAGAGAGATTGTTTTTATAAAACAATCCAGCAAAACTCTGATCATTTTGTTTCATTCCCACAGGAATGTTTCTTTTTAAACTATGTTGAAAGTTACCTCAAACTGCTTGGTTGTCTCACTTGTAAGCTTCAGTGGAAATGCTTGTATTTTTCAGAGTCCTAGTATCAGATGTTACTGGCAGAATTTTCTTGGCAATGGCAGTTGCTACATCCTCCATGGGACTTTTGGGACAAGGCAGATATGAAAACCAAAACTTTAGCTCCATTCAGTGTACAATAGTCTTGGATTTATTGTCTCATGATTTCTAAGCACATAAAGTGTTCTGTTTAGCCAGTCTAAGACACAAAGCTTGACATATCTTCTAAAATGAACTTGCTATTTATGTTCTACCTTTTATCCACCCAAAGTTTTTTTTCTTTTGCTATGTATACTTAAATACGGTTTAGAGCTCTTGAAGGATATTATTTGATTGCTACCATTTTGACTTTCATGGCATTTTGAATGTGTTTTCGAAAACTTGGCTTCTGACTTCCAGTCACTGCCTTGGTCATAGTGTGTGTCTCTATCTGGATCCATGTCTTTGCTGTCTTTTGGTTTTCTCTTTATCTTTGCCTCTCTCTCTCTCTCTCTCTCTCTCTCTCTCTTTCTCTCTCTCTCTCTCTCTCTCTGTCTCTCTCGCTCTCTCTGTCTCTCTCTCTCAGATTCTATCTATTATCAAGAAATCATCCAATAACAAATGCTAGCAAGGCTGTGGGGAAAAAGGAATCTTTCTCCACTATAGGTGGGAATGTAGACTGGTGCAACCACTGTGCGGATTCCTCAAAAAACTAGGACTAGAGGTTTCATTTGACCCAGGTATCCGCCTTTTTGGTATCTTCCTGAAAGAATCAGAAGTATCATACCCAGTGATACATGCACTCCCATGTTCACAGCAATATTTTGTAGTAGCTAAATCTTGGAAACAACCCAAATGCCTATCAACCGATGAATGGATAAATAAGATGTGTTTGTTTTTAAATAATGGAGTATACTCAGCCATAAAGAAGGATAAATTAGAGACATTTATAGCTAAATGGATGCACACAGAAACAATACTCATAAGTGAAATAAATTGGTCCAACATGTATAAATATCACATTGTTTCTTTGGTACAAGAAACTGAAAAAATTTAAATAAGGACCAAAATGTATAACAGACACTGTGAAATGGGAAGAAAATATTCAAATGGAAAAGGCACGAGAGGGGAGGAGGAAGGGAAAGATTGGAAAATAAAAACTGAGAAAAGAAAGCTAAAATGGAAGCAAAGCTCTTAAAAATAAGGGGAAGAGGAGTAGAAGGGAGGGGAGGGGAATGGGAAAAAATATGAATGAAGATATATAATGTAGAGATACAAATTCTATGTGATGAATGTGATCATTATGTATATCTAAACTGTACCAATAAACTTATTAATGATAAGGCAAAAAAAAAACAAATTCTGTCTCACAACATTGCTTAGAATTTTCTCACAACAGAACTAGCCACAGTTGTTCATATAAAAACATAGTGAATACAATTAATACAAATAACCATAAAATAAAATCAACATGGCTAAAATTATAGTTTTTAAAAGGACAGGCAAATCTCCATGACAAAATATAAATACTCAATATTTAGTTCAGGGAAAATAGGTTTGGTAGAAACAATGACCAGAAAAAAATTAAAATTACACCTGAAAAAAATTAAATGGAATACATATAATGAGCAAGATGAAATTAATGGTTTGAATCATTTTTAAATATGATGAAAAATTAATCAAAATGTAAAATTCAGTCACATATAGAAGAAAAATACTAGAAATATTTAATCAGTACTGTATAGATTAGTTAATTCATTTTTTAAATTTAGTATGTGTATTGGTTTTCTAGAACTGTTATAACAAAGTACCAGGAAGTAGATTAAACAAGAACATGTTATCGCATAGTTTTGCAGTAGTCTGAGATCTAAGTGTCAGCAGAGTTGGTTTCTTCTGAACGCTGTCAAGGAGAAGCAGCACCATTCCTCTCTCACTGCTGGATGTTTTCAGGCAATCTGTAGTGTTCCTTGGCTACTGGAAACATCATTCCGATCTCTGTCTTGACAGTAACACAAGATGTATGTCTACATCCAAATTTCCTCCACTTTCCATCTTATTCTCTTCTTTTTTCATCATATGTCCACCAGGAAGCTGGATCCTGCTGCAGCAAGGAAGTGTCCCCACTCCTTCGTATCAATCAAGACACAGGCAGCCATGCAGAAATGTAGGCAGGATATATTGTACAATAGATATGCAAAGTGTTATGCTTTTAAGTGAGAAGGCAGGCAGCATCACAAAGACATTTGCACAGATACATTTCTATGCACACAAAAGTTACTTCTGGAGTTCAAGGAACAGTGATGATTATCACTGTTTTCTTTACACAATGCAGATGTGCTTAAATGTTTTCTCTTAGGGGTTACTTCGGAATTTCAGTATCTCAAAAATATCTCCCTGTTCCTTTCCAGTGGTCAGTGTTCCCTTGGGGCCTTAAGTCATGTAAGAATCTAAATTAGGTCTCAGCCCGAGGAGGGAGGGCCTTTAAAGAACACTCCCTTTCTGATATCACTGGGCATAGGTCATGGCACCCAGGAACATGATATGCCTTGTTTTAGAAATAGATGGCCAGGTAGCCAAAAGGCCAGATGTCAGAAGGATGATGTATAATCTTAAATGTCACTGTACTCGGTAGGGATAATTTAATGTGAAACCTAACAGATGATTACAAATGTATTACACCTTGAAGTCTTTGTTTCTCTACTTACCTATGACTGGCAAATCATGCTATTTTTCCCTCCCACATACACCTTTGTCTCTCAGTCCTGCTGATGTCTAACACACTGTCCTTTTCTTTTCTTTTTTTCTTTCTTTTTAATGGTACCAGGATTAAAACCAGGCCCTCACAGTGAGCAACACCCTTGGCCCTTTTTTCATTTCTTAGTTCGAGACAGTCTTGCTAGGTTGCTAAATTCCCCAAAGTGGGCTCGAACATGGAGTCTCCTCCTCTCCTCAGCTCCTCAGAATGCTGGCATTATAGATGTGCACCATCACATTCAACATACTTTTTAAATTTTTTTTCTGTTTTGGAGAGATTTATTCAGATTGATCTTTCTTTCTGACTTTTCTTTTGTACTCTTTGCTAGAAGTTTCAATTTTGAAGAGATCTTGTTCTCTGATTGTTCATTTGGATAGATTCCAGTTATTTTCTTATCACTTACATAACAAGATTAATTATACCATGGTTTTTACTAAGTTTTCCATTGTTTCCTAAGTTGTTTATTTCATCTATTTCTTGTTGTCTTATTTGGCCTCTCTCATTTAAATTGAAGGTTTTTCTCCAATAAATTGGGATCATATAAAAGAAGAAGGCCCTGAAAAGCCAGTGTTTTTGTGCATT